TTCTCTGTAAAATTTTTGATTTCTCCATCGAATCTGAATGAGATCCTTGCTGGGTAGAGTAATCTTGGTTGTACGTTCTTCCCTTTCATCACTCCCTTCTGGCTTGTAGAGTTTCTGCAGAGAAATCTGCTGTTAACCTTATGGGAGTTCCCTTGTATGTTATTTGTCATTTTTCCCTTGCTGCTTTCAGTAATTTTTCTTTGTGTAATTTTTGCCTATTTGATTACTATGTGTCTCGGCATGTTTCTCCTTAGGTTTGTCCTGTATGGGACTCTCTACACTTGCTGGATTTGGGTGGCAATTTCCTTTCCCATGTTAGGGAAGTTTTCGACTATAATCTCCTCAAATATTTTCTCGGGTCCTTTCTCTCTCTCTTCTTCTTCTGAGACCCCTATAATGCGAATGTTGTTGCGTTTGATGCTGTCCCAGAGGTCTCTTAGGCTGTCTTCATTTCTTTTCATTCTTTTTTCTTTATTCTTTTCTACAGCTGTGAATTCCACCGTTCTGTCTTCCAGGTCACTTATCCGTTCTTCTGCCTCCATTATTCTGCTATTGATTCCTTCTAGTGTATTTTTCATTTCAGCTATTGTATTGTTCATCTGTTTCTTCTTTAATTCTTCTAGGTCTTTATTAAACATTTCTTGCATCTTCTGGATCTTTGCCTCTGTTCTTTTTACGAGGTCCTGGATCATCTTTGCTATCATTATTCTGAATTCTTTTTCTGCAAGGTTGCCTATCTCCACTTCATTTAGTTTTTCTGGAGTTTTATCTTGTTCCTTCATCTGGTACATGGCCCTCTGCCTTTTCATCTTATCTTTCTGTGAATGTGGTTTTTATTCCACAGGCTGCAGGACTGTAGTTCTTCTTGCTTCTGCTGTCTGCCCTCTGGTGGATGAGGCTATCTAAGAGGCTTGTAGAAGTTTCCTGATGGGAGGGACTGGTGATGGGTAGAGCTGACTGTTGCTCTGGTGGGCAGAGCTCAGTAAAACTTTAATCCACTTGTCTGCTGATGGGTGGGGCTGGGTTCCCTCCCTGTTGCTTGTTTGGCCTGAGGTGACCCAACACTGGAGCCTACCGCGGCTGTTTGGTGGGGCTAATGGCAGTCTCTGGGAGGTCACGCCAAGGAGTACTTCCCAGAACTTCTGCTGCCAGTGTCCTTGTCCCTTGGTGAGCCACAGCTGCCCCCCTCCTCTGCAGGAGACCCTTCAACACTAGCAGGTAGGTCTGGTTCAGTCTCCTATGGGGTCACTGCTCCTTCCTCTGGGTCCCGATGTGCATACTACTTTGTGTGTGCCCTCCAAGAGTGGAGTCTCTGTTTCCCCCAGTCCTGCCATCAAATCCCACTAGCCTTCAAAGTCTGATTCTCTAGGAATTCCTCCTCCCATTGCCAGACCCCCAGGTTGGGAAGCCTGACGTGGGGCTCAGAACCTTCACTCCAGTGGGTGGACTTCTGTGGTATAAGTATTCTCCAGTTTGTGAGTCACCCACCCAGCAGTTATGGGGCTTGATTTTATTGTGATAGCACCCCTCCTATCATCTCATTGGAGCTTGTCCTTTGTCTTTGGATGTGGGGTATCTTTTTTGGTGAGTTCCAGTGTCCTTCTGTCGATGATTGTTCAGCAGTTAGTTGTGATTCCAGTGTTCTCGAAAGAGGGAGTGAGAGCATGTCCTTCTACTCTGCCATTTTGAACCAATCTCTTCCTTTATTATTTCTTATAGTACATGTCTCCTAGTGATGAATTCCCTCAGATTTTTATTCATGAGTAAAAATCTGTATTTCACCATTTGAAAGATATGTGCTGAGTATAGAATTTTATTTTGACCCATTATAATCATTTGTTGCTTTCAAGATGTCATGTCATTTTGGACTGTGTAGTTTCCAATGAGTAGATTTCATCATTCTTATCTTTGCCTCTGTGTAGGAAATATATCTTCTCTCTCTGGCTGCTTTTAACATTTTTTCTTCATCACTAGTTTTCAACAGTGTGATGATGTATTTTTCTTTATGTTTATTCTGCTTAGGATCCTTTGAGTTTCTTGGATCTTTAGGTTTACTGTTACCAAGTTTGGCTATCATTTTGCTATTTTGGCTTCATTGCTTTAAATATGTTTTCTGCTGATCTTCCTTTCTGAGGCTCCAATTACATTTATTCTAGACTGCTCAATTTTGTCCCAGGGGTCAGTGATGCTTTGGGGTTTTCTTCTCTCTCATGTTTCTTTTTGGAAATTTTCTATTGCTTTTTATTCAAGTTCACTATTCTTCTCTGCTAGGATGTCTAATATTCAGATAAAAATATATCTGAAATGATTAAATTACCTCTCAAAATTTGAGTCTTTTTAATATCTTCTAATTCTCACTTTATCACATTCATGTTTTCCTCAGCCTTCTTGAATATCTGGAATATATTTTCCAAAGCATTTTTAATATCCTTTTCTGCTAATTTTATCATCTCTTATTTCTAGGTATGTTTCTGGTGATTTACTTTTTTCCTCTGGTTATCCGTCTTTTTCTTGATACCTACTACTCTTCATATAGTTAACATTGTGAATTTTACATCTATGGTGATATTTTGTTGGATTCTTTTCAATAGATAGTTATCTGGAAGGAAGTTATGTTACTTAGAATCAGTTTTTAAGCTTTTTTAGGGTGGGTCTAGAAAAGCCTTTAGTTTATGGCTAATTTGTTCCCACTACTGAAGTGACACCCCTATATCTGTTTTCCCATGTAGTTGGAGATCTCAGCAGTTTGGCTGGTAGTGACATGAAATATTCTCAGCCTTGTATGAGCTTTGTGAATTGTTCTGCTTTATCCTTTTGGTGGTTTGTTCCCAAGCCTGGGGTAGTTTATTCACATGGATGCACAGATCAGTACCCAGACAAAATTTCAAGAGAACCGTTCTATAAATCTCTGGTGTATTCTATCTATGCAGCTCTCTTCTCTCCAGTATTTTGCCTCATAAATTCTGTTTTTGCCACATTAGACTCTGATTTCTGTCTCCTTGGTTTGGTGAGACTTCTGATCTCTCCTTGAGTTTCGGTTTCCTGGGAAATCTCTCCATTCAGTAAGCTAGAAGACTTAGTTTAAACTAAAGTTTACTTCGATTGTTATCCTTCTCTCATCTTATTCTATGTTGCCTGTTGACCAATATGTGAAGACTGCCGTTTAATGTATTTTGTTCAGCTTCCTAGTTAAGGTAGGAGATTAAATCCAGTATCCATGTTGACTTTTCAACAACAATTGCCTAACCTCCCCAAACCTAAGGTATAACTTTCCAGGATTCTTACTTACTTACTTACTTATTTATTTATGGATGCGTTGAGTCTTTGTTGCTGCATGCAGGCTTTCTCAGTTGCATCAAGTGGGGGCTACTTTTCATTGTGGTGCACAGGCTTCTCATTGCGGTGGAGTTTGTTGCGGAGCACGGGCTTTAGGCACATGGACTTCAGTAGTTGTGGCTCACAGGCTTAGTTGCTCCCCGGCACATGGGGTCTTCCCAGACCAGGGATCGAACCCGTGTCCCCTACATTGGCATGTGGATTCTTAAGCACCGCACCACCAGGGTAGTCCCCAGTATTCTTATTTTTAATTCAAAAAGAAAAATATTTTTGTTGGTGTCATACATTCTAGTTGCCTTTTTTTCTCTTCTCAGTACTGCATTTGGGAACTCTCTCATACCTGTAAGCAGAAGTAATTAACTACTTTTTAACATTAAAAGTTTAGAGATATTAATTTGCTACAATATATAGTATGTATAATATTGCACTTATAATAATATTAATATCAGTTCTACTTTTGTGTGGAAATTTTTCAGACTCCTTTAATAACATTTCTGACTTGATGCTAATAAAAGCTCTGTGAACTAGATAAATCTAGCGTTATAATTCTCATCAAAGTAAAGAAGCTAAGGCCTCACAAGACTCATTAATTTTTCTCAATCGCATAACCTATAAATGATGAGATAGGATCTTCTGACTTTTATAACAGTGTTTTTTCCAATTTTCCAGAGTCTGTCTTCCTGGAAGATGTAGAACTTTATGTAAAATAGCAAAACATCTAGTATAGTATGGTAGCAAAACTTTTCGTGAGGAAGGCAATATGGTGGAATAGAAATAACTAGATTTAGAGTAAGCGGATGATTTGTCAGTCATATTCAATCTAAGTAATAAAACAACGTGGAATTACATAAAATGAGCAAAACAACTTTTATACAACTATTTTATATTTACTTTAGGAAACAAAAAGCAGATTTACAGTTGTTCAGCTAGAGGGCATGTTGTAAATGGAGCAAAAAGAGAGTTTAGTGTATGCCAATTGTTAAGGTGACCAAAATGCCTGCTTAGGAGATCCATTTTAATTTTTCAGGAGATTTAGTTAAGAAATTAATCAAATGGCCTTTGTATTTTAGTAAATGGGACAAAATAAAGAACAAAAGATTGAGAAATTTTTAAATTTTTGTGAATGAGTTAGATCTCTGTTCATATCTACTATGGTGTCAAAATCTTTGATATATGTAGTTAATCTTTATGTAAAATCTTGTGTTACGTATACACTCTGTTTAAGAAGAGAATTAATTTCGAACCTAATAATTATTATTTTTGAAAAAAGTCACCTAATTGCATACCTAAGCAGCTGTAGCTATTGAAGTATGACATTTCTTGATCTGTTCCCCCTTCATAGCAAAAAGATTTTATATGATTCATCTGTAAAAACATAAAATCAAGTTAAAGAGCAAGTTGAGTAATCACTACTTACATGATAAAATATATGAGAAAATATGATTGCAGGTCATTCCTATTTTTTGCAGTGGTCATGGCTATTATATAAGGTTAACCTATCCTATGTAAAGGCACCATATCCTTCCTGACTTTCACCAGTCACTGCCTGACTTACCCAACCCTAAAGCATTACTTTCCAATAATCTTATTTATTTTTAAATTCAGAGATAAAAATAATAATGGTTGGTGTAATACATTCTAGTTGCATTTTTTTTTTCTCTCAGAGTTGCATTTGGGAACTGCAATGGGTTGGCTGTGGTGGATTTTATACAGAAGACAGTACTGTTAAGCATGGGGACCATTGACCTATATAGATCAAGTGACCTATACCAACGACAACCACGGTCTCCTCGAAAAAACAAGCAGTTCATTGCAGGTAGGAGATAAGATCGTTATGAACTTGATTAGTTCACCTGTTTTCTCACCTTTAGATTTCTTGTCTTTCTTCTGTGATGCTACTCAAATGCACAGCAATATAAAGTCAACATACTTTACAATACCACGTAAGTAAAATTGGTCAGAAACATAGTAAGAATCTTTGAAAGGGTAAAGGAAGTGTTTAAACTTCAATTTGTTGTTAACGTTAGGAAGGATCTCAAGTTTCTTAAGTTGAATTCCTAAAATATAACAAAAGATAAGAAGATATTAAATATAAAAATGCTAAGAAAATCAGGCTATCTAGTTGAAAAAGCTGCTTGCAATGGTTGTGTTAACTGGGATAGTTTTCTTCTAATATATGATAGCTTTAAAAATATAACTTAAGGTCACTCACTAGTTTTAAAGTAACTCCATTTTTTGGCTGTCACCTTTCCTTGTTGGATGGTGACTTTCTTGGAGGTATTTTCACAAATGCAGTAAACATTATTAACATTTTAAAATGCTATGAAAGATGATATTTTTCTTGACAAATTAGAAAAACATATAAAGTTAGTAAAATACAAGCCAAAATACTTTCTACGTATAATGCCAAACCTTGATATGCCAAATTATCCAAAGTTGTACTAAAATTTCAGTACATATCCAAATAGTTGGCTTTGCAAACATTGCCAACATTTTGTATATTTTCTGTCCACTGACATAGTTTAGTTGGTAAAATATTGGCTGAGCTAAAAGGTTTGCAGGTGGAAATGCATCTATAGTATTATGTGTTATTTTATACAGTTTTTTAAATTTTCTACTGTTTTTTAAAATAATCAGTTGAATATTGACACTTTTACTAAATATACCCACGTAAAGACTATTTTAAAGTAAAAAGAGTACATTATGGTAGGTGTTATTTTCTAAATAGCAAATGTGCCAAATTTAACATCTGAATGTGGTAATAAATGAAGTTTCCTTTTGAACTAATGAAAAATTACTTGATATACTGAAATTCTCCTTCTTTGTTAATCTTTCTTTTGTAAACCTATACCCTTTCCAAATTGCTAATTTAGACCCTTTTCAGGAGCACAAAAGTTCTCCTTCAGAACCTGGAGTTTCTTTGTTTTTTGTTAGGGATCTCAACTTTTAGCAATATTTTATGAGTCCTAGCAATGTAAAATTAGACAGGTTCTGCTTCTTCCACTACTGGCTTTTGAAAGAAAGGCAGAATAAGAGAAATTGTGCATGAATGTACCATGAGATCCCCTCACGATTGAGAAAGAGAAAGTTGACTTTTGAAAGTTCATGGACTCTTGATAGAAAGATGTTAGGGGATAGTAGGCACTGTTTGCATGCTGAAACACTAATTCAATCAGAAAAGCTGTGGATCCTAAGACAACATCTAAATTACTTGCTGGATATACACAGTGGGATGACAAAGTATATATTTTGACAGAGGTAATACAATTATTTAAATTAAACTTACTAAGCCTCAAAAATTATGATTAGAGCTCAGAATTTTAATGACTTTAAAATTAGGAAAAACTGTGATGAAGTTGTAAACTCTGCTTGTATTTAGTGTATATAATGAGTACTCTGTTATTAAAAAAAAGACTAAAATCCCTAAGCTTTCTTGTTAATACTGAAGATTAAAGACAACCATTTTTATATTTATGTGGTAACATACATATTACTTATAAGCTAAATAAGTTTACTATGTAAAAAGCATAAAGAGAAATATGCCATTTATTTTTATAAGATATTTGATTAAATAAAATTACTACAGCATTCTCATCATTCATCTATCACCTCACTTTCTAATTGATTTAATTTTTTAATATCTCCTTTCTAATTTGATTACCTAAACTTGCTGCAATTTCTTCATCTTGGCTGTTCTATATTCTGGTATGATATCACTTCCTTTCACTTTAGACTATTTTTCTCTCTTTCTTCTGCCTGCTGCTGATGCTGGTGTTCTGGCATGTTCCAAAGACAACTTTTGCATGCGTGGCCTGTCTAACTTTTATCCTGATTTAACGAAACGGATCCGTACTTCCTACCAGAGTAAGTTCAATAAAGGTTAGGCAAATAGCTTTTTTTAAGTCATAATGCTTGAGTTAAATCCATATATCTGTGCTTAGTAATGTGTTTTTAAAAACACATTCAGCATGCATGCAAATTTTTGTTTTGTTATGGAAATGCAACCTGATAATTTTAATAAAAATTATATAAATATTTCAAATAGTTATATACCCATTTACCCATATTCATTGTTTCAGTGTTTATTTCAAACCATGTGTACCATGTGCTATTAGTCCAAGAGCCATTGTCTTTTGTTTTGAGGAGGAAGAGCCATGGTGTCCTTGTAAATAATAAACCTGATATTCTAGCATCAATAATAATTGAATGCTTATTTTGGAAACCTTATGCCTTTGGCCATTTTATAAAATTATTTTAACCAGGGCCACAATACTTGCTTTTTCTAATGTAACTAGATTTCTTGGAGGTAGCATTTCTGATGCTTTTCATTAAAATAGAATATACAAACACACATTTCTGTAGTGATTTTAGGAAACAAACACTGTGAAACTGGGGAATCAAGGTCACAAATAAAAGTCACTAATATTAACATTTACCATGGTAGCAAATGCAAATCTGAAGATGGTGTGTCAGATATTCTATTAAATGGTGCAGAAAGAGTGGGGAGTGAGAGTATGATTGGAGGTGCAGATGATACTAGTGATATTATGGGTGAATATTTATTGACATGAGAAGATGTATATAATATGTTAATCAATATGTTTAAAAAGAACTTAATACATATAAGACAATCTCATATTTGTATAAAATATATATATGGATACATACATGTTTGTTGCTTGTATCCTAAATTTCTTCAGACCTCACCTCACCAGCTTGTACATACTTAATGGAATTACATCACTTATAAAAACCTAGAATTTTGTGTTCCGTTAGCTAAAGGAAGTCAATACCTGTGAAAGCCTTAAAGTTTTTCTGGGGTGCAGAGGGTAACTTATTTTTGCTCAGAACTATTCTTTAGTTTTCTACTCTGAGCACCCCCTTTTTCAGTGCTTCCCACTGCCTCTACTCCTGGTGCTTGTGATAGAACACATATCTGTGTTGGCTTCTGCTGTTACTAAAACAGAAACTTATTAGGTATTGTAACATTTCTTGACACCTGAAAATTATATGAAATTTTAGTTTCCATAATTAAAATTTCCATAAAAGTTGTATTGAAACACAGCCAAACTCATTCATTTACATATTGTTTCTGGCTGCTTCCAAACTACAATGGCAGAATTGAGTAGTTGCAACAGAAACCATATGGCCCCTAGAGAATGGACTTGAGGATACGGGGAAGGGTAAGCTGGGACAAAGAGAGTGGCATGGACATATATACACTACCAAATGTAAAATAGATAGCTAGTGGGAAGCAACTACATAGCACAGGGAGATCAGCTCGATGCTTTGTGACCACCTAGAGGGGTGGGATAGGGAGGGAGGGAGATGCAAGAGGGAAGAGATATGGGGACATATGTATATGTATAACTGATTCACTTTGTTATAAAGCAGAAACTAACACACGATTGTAAAGCAATTATACTCTAATAAAGATGTTAAGGGCTTCCCTGGTGGCACAGTGGTTGAGAGTCCGCCTGCCGATGCAGGGGACACGGGTTCGTGCCCTGGTCCGGGAAGATCCCACATGCCGCAGAGCGGCTGGGCCCGTGAGCCATGGCCGCTGAGCCTGCGTGTCTGGAGTCTGTGCTCCGCAACGGGAGAGGCCACAACAGTGAGAGGCCCGCATACAGCAAAAAAAAAAAAAAAAAAGATGTTAAAAAACAAAAATTGCCCACCTTTAAAAACAAAAAAGAAACCATATGGCCCATGAGACCTAAATATTTACTGTCTTGCTCCTCACATAAATTTGCTGACCTCTCTCCTATACTATTCTTCGTTACCCATCCCCTACCACCTAAATGGTTTCAGCCACAACCTTTCCTGAAAATAGTTTCCAGGTGGTTTAACACACATACTCAGACTTCAGAATCCTAGTTTAGCCTTCTCAAGGTAGAATCCCCCTACTGTGTGTGTGTGTGTGAGAATGCATCCATCTGTACAGATAGAAAAAGTTTCTGGAACATGAGACTGTAGATTTTATAAATTTCTTTTAATGTATTTTATGGTATTTCTATAATAAACACATAATGCTTTTATAGTAAAAAGAAGTTGGATTCTGAGGATAAGAAGCAGGCTCTTAGTTAATCTGAATTCTACAATATCAACCATGATATTAAAGTTAATTCAATAATCTTATGTTGCCTTCAGAATAAAAAAGCCAAGATTTTAAACCTTCATTCAGGGTACTCTAAAATATAATTCTTATCTGCATCTTCAAATGAATTTTCTACTACTGCTATAAAAACACTCCTCTTAAGCCAGTGTATGTATCTTACTACACTTATAATTTATTTATAAGTGAAACTTTCCTTAGATTTCACTCCCTATAGTAAACCTTTCCTGCTGCCATTAGAGCCCTTTGCACCAATTCCTTAATTTAAATGTCTATAGTGCCTACGGTGTACCGGCTTCTACACAGTAGTGTCTGAACCATTTAATTGGTACTTAGATTTGTTTGTATTTTTATGCATATGCTCTACCTTTATAAATGCATGATAAGAACCTGAAAACCATATCTAAAATTGTTATTATCCGCTACACCCAGCACAAGTATGAGCTCAGCAAGTCAATGATGATGGTAGTGAGATAGAGCATGACAGGAGACTCTTTTTGCTAACAAGAATAGCCAGCAGAATTTTCAGATTTGATAAATGAGAGTAGACATGGCTTCTGGGTTCAATGGAATTTTGCAAAAGAAATCATAGTTTCTTCTAAACAAAGAATTAAAGTGTCAAGACAGGAGTAAAATCAAGTCCTCAGAAGGCCATAAAAGATGTTCTATGTCTTCCATGGGACTATGATTTGTGGATGCAAAGAAATGCTTTGGAAAGAGCAAGAGACATAGGGTGAGAAGGTTTATATCAAGTTCTGCCTTTTCTTCTTATTGACTACTCATTACATTTATAATCTTAAGCAAGTCATTTAACTGCTCTGAGTTTCTTTTTTCTCATATATAAAGTAAAAATCATAATCCCTACTTTCCCCTTAGAGACTTTTGGAACTTTTCAAGATTAGTGTTTATAATTGCACTTCTATAAATATTAGACATTATTATTATAATAGAAGATGAAACCACGTCACAGGTTAAATAAACTTTCCAGAATACAACAAATCTATGGAAGAATTTAGGGCTAACATCCAGTCAGCTGCCTCATCACCTAGTGCTCTTTCTACTTGTTATAATGAGAAATTCTGCTAGTTAATGCTTTGTGGTTAAAGGTTTTTGTTTGTTGGTAATATCTATAATTTGACTACATAGTAGAAGTGCACATTTGAGAAAAGTTCACAATGTACATAAACAAAAGGACATGCTTGCTTGACAACTAAAAGGTAGTTGAGAAAGAACATTATTAGAACCTTACCAGTGTTGAAGAGGTATTTACTTAAAAAAAAAAATTGATAATATACCATTTGAACAAAAGGAGGTTTGGAAGGTATGCTTAAGGTAGAACATTGTCAGAAAAGGTGCTTATGCATCAATTTCTAGTTATGTATTGGGGAATCCTTTGGAAAGTTTCAGTCCTATCTACAGACATTTCTCTCTTTCACTGCATAGTTTGTTCAGAGTGTGGGGAGTCATAACAGATCCTGGAAATACAAATCAGTAACATAAAGAAAAATTGAATGAAAAGGGGAAGATAAGAGAAAACTAGCAAAGAGAGGCAAATAAACATTTTCAAAAATGAATGGAGCGGGCTTCCCTGGTGGCACAGTGGTTAAGAATCTGCCTGCCAATGCAGGGGATACAGGTTCGAGCCCTGGTCCGGGAAGATCCCACATGCCACGGAGCAACTAAATCCGTGAGCCACAACTACTGAGCCCACATGCCACAACTGAAGCCCACGAGCCTAGAGCCCATGCTCCACAACGAGAAGCCACCGTGATGAGAAGCCTGTGCACCGCAACGAAGAGTAGCCCCCACTTGCTGCAACTAGAGAAAGCCCACGCGCAGCAACAAAGACCCAACACAGCCAAAAATAAATAAATAAAATAAATTTATTTTTTTTTAAATGGACAAAGTCAAGAATGGGGGAGGAGTAAAACAAAGAATAAGAGGAATGCCTCAAGGAACAAAAACTAGCAAAAATTATGGTAAACAATGAATGGGAAAAGTCCATTTATTTAAAAAATATTTATTAAGCATCCTCTGTATAAAACATTTTTTAGGCAGTAGATATATAATGATGAATGAAATAATTATAGTCTCCCCTCAATTTATAAGAGAAAACATATAAAGAAATTCATACATATACAATTACAGTTGAAAAAAGAAAGCAATCCTATGAAAGAGAAAAATTAGACATGGAAAAGTTGGACCTATTTTTGAGAGTGTTGTTAGGGAAGGGCCTATCTGAGGAGGAAACACTTAAGTGAATCCTTACAAGATAAGAAGGAATCAGACAAAGCTTTGAACTTACACTTCTGACCAAGGTAGAGTAACAGGGACAAGATTTAACATCCTGCCTCAAACAAACAGAAACAGCCATAATAAATGAAGCTGTGGTTTTTAAGACATGAGACATCAGACAATGAAGAACAGTAATTTCTGACAGATAAGAAACAAAAGAAGTGAACCCTATAACCATACCTCTTTATTGCCCTGAGAGAGTTTCTAGACTGCAGCAAAGGGAAAAGGGGAAACCCAAGAGGAAACCAGTCAACTCCCTATGCTGAGAAGATGGAGATGAGAAACGGGGGAAACCAAAGCAGCTACAGCTCCTAAAGAGAGGATCCCAGAGATCTACAGTTTCCTCCTCCAACAGATCAACACATACCTATGATGTAGCTACACAGGGACAGGTAAAGAACCATCTGAAAGGATTAAAGGAAATGGTATCCAACACTCAAAGGGAATAGTGCCT